ACGTTTAATATTTCATTTAAAATAGACGTTTCGCATTTCGCAGTTACCTTCGTAGGAAACGTTAAAATAAAACCTAAAGCATGCCCGGTTTAAATCCTTATGCGTCCAGCTTCATTTAAATGCATAACATTCGCAAAACTCAAATATAATTTCAAACATATTACTCACAAATTGCGGACATTGTGAAGAATAACAAAAAGAACAGAGCTATATGAAATAATCGCTAATATGTGTCAAGGACGGACGAAATGAAACGTAAAATAAGTTTTTTGTATGTTTTAATATTAAATTTCAACAGGAAAACACGATCCCTTTATTAATATTCACATAAATTACAAATTTTTCATAATAATTATGAAATTGAAAACGCAATGCGCTTTCTGGAAAGTTATTGTTTATTTTATAGTGTTGAGTAGATTTTAATTAAAGTGATGGGATGTTATCTTAAAAAATATCCAATTGAAATTTAAAGTCACCGCGGGCGGTATTTTTAAATGAAAATGTAAGATACATTAAGGTAATTATGTAGAAGTTTTTAAAACCTACGGGTGACGATTTTCGTATCTTATATGTAATTATTCCTGGAAAATATTGCTGAGCCATTTTGGTTGTTGTGTTGATATAAACACATGTAATTAAGAATCAATATACCTTGAATAGTAGCATTAAATAGCCAAAGAATAAGTATTTAATCAACCAAACATTTCTAATATCCTCAATCATTAATCATGATCATTCTTAATAAAGATGCTTATAAATAAACATTAAAAATATTGCGACCAAAATAGAGTACACATAAGTCATAACAATTCTATTATTATGAAAGCTTATTTGAGCATCTGTTAAAATGGAACCTCTATTTTAATAGCAGTGAGAGCTTAACGAAAAGGTATCTAAATAGCGGGTTGCAGAATTTATGTTTTCATATATTGTTCATTTTATGTTATATACATAGGACTGTGCGGTTGTGGACGAAATTGTATTACACGTAGGGTCTGGCAGTGCATGGAGTTATAGGGTTAACTTGAACCAATATCACGATAATTAATTGCTGTTAACCTACATTGGAGAATAAGTATTCTGTATTCGTTCTTACAAGTTACAATATTTATATAAGTATAACCCTTAATTAATAACAATGTAATAAAATTAAAAGTTTATTGTTTTGAGCTGATAAAAATCATTGTAAATTTAATATAGATACATATTTATTTAATAAATTAGTATTTTACCAATACTTAGAACATAAAAAGCTTATCAAATTATGTCAAATGTCATTAAAACTGGGTGTATGAAATATAACATTTTATATTGTCTTTATATAATATGAAATATTTTGCAGATTCAATAAGAATAATAATCTTGAAACATTCATAGACTGCAGAAAAGTTTTTGTTTGTAATTGTATATATTTATAATAATTGATGTATTTCTGAATGACACTTTCTTCCAACATGTTTTCGAAGCATCTTTTATAAAAATTTCTTTCTGCGGGACAAAATAAAAAGACGATAAAAAATTTCTAATAAAATTTGAGGTGAAAGTAAGAAGAATTTCATAAGATTTCTCTATTTTTTTTATTATTCTAGTACCTTTTATTTTCTATAAGCTACGCGTATTTTTGTGATAAAATTTAGAAGATCACAGTTTTGTTGTTTTCTTTAGTATTTTATCTATTGAAGTATCTTTGACTTAATTTAAATCACAAAAATCTTTCAGCTATAGAGGGCGATAGTAAGTGATTTGGATGGCCTCTTTCTTGAAATCACCAACGTGTCTTGAGCAAGCGTGGTGATTATTGCTCAAATCTCCTCCATGTGAGAAAGAGGCATTTTCTCGGCAGTGGGCTCTGATAGGATGATCACAATGGCCACTTTATTCGTTTTTTATGATATCTAAGATTTTCGTGTGTACTCATTTAAATGAAACTAAAGTTTTCGGATGGTACGCGTCTTTGAATATAAATTTTTGACTCCATGATTTTTGCATTTATGTTCCTTTACAACAACCGTGATTACGGACTGACAAGATGATACGTCGGGATTATACAGTTGGAAAAATTACAATAAAAAACGCGTAGTATCCTGGAACCCATTTTAGTTAAATTTTTATTAGTATATATTTAAAATGAACTTGAGATATTATTTATTTGTTTCATCAATGTTAAAAATAAACTTACAGAATAAAATTTAATTAATACAGATATATTTTATGGGTGTATAAAACAATGTAAATCTAACAAAGAGTCGAAGATATTAAAAAAGTTTTCAAAGTCCGAAATTCATTAACCGCTGAAAATGAAATATCCTTTGTTTGAAACATTTTATTATTGACCTTCGTTTCCTGGCAAAACAATAGTCTGCGAGTCTTTTATAGCATTGAGCTCAGATTACAAATACGTACTTCAGCGGGTACGAAGAGCGATAGCGGTTATATTTATATTAAAAAATATATTTTTATGATAATTTTGTTGTTTGTTGTTTGACCTGAATTATTCTCAAAGACGATATTTTTAGCACTTTATTTTTGAATAATAATTCATTTTATCATCCAACATTATATGTGTTTTTCTTATTGATCGTCTAATCTTCTTCTTCTTCTTGGCAATTTCTCAGATTTAGCCAGGGTGTGCTATAATTAATTGCCTAATATTCATATTAAACAAGGTTTTAAGGAAGTCATAAATACTGCCTATAAAGACCATTTCGTGTAAACAACCCAACTATAACTAAATCCGACTAGATTAATAAGAACATAGCTTAATGCCGGGATAATAGGCAGATTAAAAGTAAATAGTATTATCGCGTGTTTTCGCATTATGAACGGACCTCTAACAACTTCTAACGAAACTCCCCTTTTCATATAAAATATGTATGACAATATATTTTCCTCAGTCCGTAGCTATCAACTTAACTTGATTTATATTTCCTCTATATATTTAAGAAAAAATATTTTGTTTTTATAACATATACTACTCGTGTCATTCCTTATAAAGATTTAGGAAACTAAGATTTGTTCATTATTGCTCTTGATATTCAGAATGCAAACTGAGAATCTTCTAATGCATGTATGTATAATATATTTCAAATATCTGAATTGAGGTATATTATACAATAGATGTATATATAGTATATGTATATGTGTGTCATGTACAATGTAATTAATGGAGCAGACAAAACAATAATATTCTGATATATATGTAGCCAGATAATTTAATCTCTTCCAGGTCATAAAACAATGAAGGTGTTAAATTCATTCATGTCTTTAATAATAACGAATATCCAAATTCGTTATGGTATTTCAATATAAATTTAGAAATATACTATCATAAGAATTCCTTTTCATAAAAAACGTTACCCCGAAATAACGAACCTTGAAAAGAGCATTCCATCAAAAAAAAAGTATCTTAAAAAAAGATTTTCCGCCTCAAAAGCACGGAGATATAAAAACACGACACGGCTGATTTTATCACAGTTTTTGCAACTTCTCAATTAGTGAGTTCAGAACTTTAAACTCGGAGCTATTAAAAACCGTCTTCAAGTTGCCGGCGTGCAAGTTTTAATGTCTTGAGGGGAATCCCTTTTGTTGCGGTCGCGAAAACTCCACTATACATATTTTATTTTGCGTTTTAAACTTTTTATGGTAAAGTAAAATAGCTTAATGATGACGGGCATTATGAAGAAAGTAATTTTTAATTCAACCGTATATATATTTTTTATGTAACTGAAGTTTTTAATATTTTATTTATTTTTGAATTGCGTTAAACTTTGATCGACTATATCAGTTCAGTAACGAGTGTTAACCCACTACAGATAATTTTCACATCAATCAACTGCCAGAAATATTAATAGCCGGATACAATTTTCGATTCCGATATCTTTTTATCATTTTTTTCTCTACGCAATATATTTTTTTCTTTAGATGTAACGATGATGAAAGAGCAAAATTGTGGTCAATCAAGAAAGGATTTTTTATTTTATATCAAAGAAAAAACTCATTTTAAAATAATCATAACCAATATAAAATTCATATAGCCACGATATAATATTAAATCGTTTTAAGTGACCCTGATTATAGCCTGAGGTCATTAAATGTCCAAAAAAACTAGAACTCTTTAACTTCATTTTTAAATTTTATTAGTGTTAAGTAGGCATCTAGTACTTATAATATTTTTAAATTTGATATTACAAAAACATGCGAATCGTGACCGAAATGGTTAGATCGTAATGAACAATGCGGTATTAAATAAATGAACTCATTACACTCCTAAAACTCTAACGAGAAAGACAAATTATTCCCGTTAGCCATCGTCAGCTTGAGACATTTTTTTCATATAATAAACAAGCTAACTCAAATACTTGTACAAAATATAAAACACATTGAAACACAAATATAAATCTGAACGTTCCGAAACGATTTAGTCTTAACTACATTTTATAGATTTAATTTCCTCTACCAGCATTCGATTTATCGAGAGCACTCCTAAATGTATATAAAATTTGAAAATGTTATCTGATATTGAGCATTACTTATAGAATATATACTCTAGCAATTAAAATTGATAAAGCGCTTAAGTGCTTAAGCGCTCAGATCCAATCTTTTCCGTAAGCCATTAATAGATTGAAAATATTCTTTAAAACAATTTAGATTTTTTAAAAATACCAGACATTCTTCTACCAAAATATCTCGCACCTTGAGAGTTTCCTTATTTGAAAATTTTCTCTGAATAGTTAGCGTATATTTTAATATAACTGTTCTTAATCGGTCAATATATTAAGCAGAAATGGTATTATGGTAAAATAATATATATCTTTGGACATCAATAAAATTGCTATTCATTGAAATCAACTTTCAACTGACAATTTTAAGTGAATGATTTATTATCTCTTGTAGAATTAAGTAAGATTTATAAAGAAGAAAGAAGTTTAATTTGAAGTTTCTTGTCTTACAGATCATGCATCAATGCGATCCGACTGTAGACTTGAGACAATGTACTTAGCATGGCGTTAAGACGACAGGCAGAGATGCAAGCTCGACTGTTGGGCTATCGCCTGAAGATCGGACTCCTGATCATCATCATCATGATTCTTGGATACTTCAATGAGAGCCACGGTAAGTAAAATTAATTTTATCAGCTTTTATTATAACGATGCTTCAGAAAGTAATGACCATCAATATATATAACGATTAAATCATGTGAGATTATTATTTCACCTGTTACCAAGCTCAAATGAAACCGTAGGTGGTAAGCGCTATATCTCAGTTATAATCCCACTTTGTTGTCTGAAACCAAGAAGAATATGGAAGATTTTATTATTTTTAGTCTAAAATATTGTGTGTTGTACCAGGGTGGCTCGATTGAGCCGACACCCTTGTGTTTTGTCAATGGCTATTATACTTACTGGCCCCCACACTGTCTATAGGAGGTCAGTAGAACTCCACTTATTGAATCTCACTACTAACTATGACAAACACCTGATACACTAAAAATCTTGGAATGTCGCAGTCGCCTCAAATCTCAAAGAAAATAGTCAAACCCATTTTTCGTACGACTTCTTTAGATAACAAACTGGAACTTAACTAATTGTTCGGTAATATTATCTAGTCTGGTTGGTATTGTGACGGCAGACTTCACACATCTTCATTTCTTTTTCTGCTTTCGTATAAAATCTTTTCTTAGACTAAAGAAACAAAAATATCCACCCAATTTTGGTACCTTATTTTAACACTAAGTTTGCATTATCATACTGATAATTTGCGACGCAGTTTTACTATTTCTTGTACTATCTAGTAATTTGTATATTAACATAAACTTACATTTTTAGGGAAAACTCAAGTAAATCAGATTAATCCAACATTGAAATTGTTTATTCATGGAAGATGAAATTCAATGCGATAAAGCCGTTTATGAAACTAAGCCACACATAGTACGAGATAATATTATCTATTTACTGATATGCCTAACGTGAGATATAGTATTGAAGGAGCTTGCAATTAATATCACATACTATTGAGGCAATAAGCGTCATAGTTTAATTATACTATCATTATTGTATGAAATACCATCCTCATAATACTATATTTTATAATTCTTCTAATCTTACATACATAAAATGGAAACTTCATACAATATTTTTCGTAAAATTGGCTATTGGTTGTTCTCGTTTGTTTTTTTTTTAATGTGAAAGTTTGCAAACGTGCACACGGCTTCTTGATGGGCAGTACTTACTGTCGCCCATGGACATCCATCATTTGTTGAGGATGCGTTGCCAAACTTAGGTATTGAGGAAAAGAGGAGAGTTTGAATAAGAAAAGGGCAGGAAAAGATGGTAACAGGGAAAGGGCAACTGATTCACTCATTAATCGGACGAAACGCAGTCATTAATAACTACATGGATCTTCTGTCAGAGGGTGATACTTCCTCGCTAAAGACAGTCGATGTTCGAGCTATAGTTATTTGACCACAGCTAGGCTATACCACCTATAAATTTTCTGATTTCGCTTCCTTCTAAAATCACTGCAACTCTTAAAGAACACAAAATTGTTTTAACAGTTTCATAAAATGGTTACAGTACAATATACATAAATCTTTAGCGGCTACACATTGTACAAATAATTACTACATTAATCTTAAATAGAACCCCAGAATGTTAATCTGTATAATTTTTAAATATAAGTATTTTTTCAAGAAAACAGATTTTTATTATAATTTATTGTATATATATTCTTTAATTATGACAACTAAAACTTGAAGACAATGACTTTTGCGATTGTAATTTATAATTATTTAAAAACTCTCAAAATATCTACAAAAATTTATTGAAAATAAAAGAAAACATTGTTTTACGAATATTCGGATTAGATTATTATCTTATACGACCTCTACTTTACTCATTCTTACCTTTCTTACTAAATTGGATTTGTCGTGACATGTCCCTTTTTTGTTCAGATAATTAAATTTTAGTACACATATTTATATTAGGTATGCAATGTACAAAAATGGTTGCCTAAAATAATTTTAAATAAGAGAATGTTTCATTCATTGCATATAAGTATGTATATTTCTATTGACAAAAGAAATAAATAATTTTTTCAGTGTCAAAATAATACATAAAATAGAAGCTTAATAAGTAACTGCAGTTTCAATAATGTACGAATATACATGCATTTCAATTAATAAATTCTTCTATATATGTATCAAACCGAGATAAATGTGTTTATTTGCAATTTGAATGGAATAATCGGAATCTGAGTAGATATTCACTTTGTTATTCTTATTTTGTGGCATATTAATAGACCGTTACTTAATTTTTACGATCGTTTATTCTATTGCATCTGTGGCAATCGTTGGATAAATGACTTAGCTTATCGTTACATTTAAATAACGCTTTGAATTTGTTTGAATGTTCTGTGTTTATACACCGGGTAAAGTGAGTTTTTTTCAGGGCTTTGTGTAGGTTAGATTGAAAAAATATAAAATCCTTTTTCACTCACTGTAAATTGTTAACTTTATAAAAACATTTACACGGTAAAAATCGTGTTATTTAGATTTTAGAAACGAAATAATTGTTGAATATTGAACATGACTTTAACAATAGCACCTGTTCTTAAACGTTGTCCTGTAGTAAAATTAAAAAAATTATGGTTTTGAACGAATTGATTTAACTTTTTTTTATGATTAAATATATTCACCACACTTATTTCAGTACAGGAAGTAAAATTTGGTTGAAGCATCGTACAATTAAATCGTTCTGGCTTGTGGCTAAGAAAAGATTTGGTGATACTCAAACCCAAATAGGGCACTTCCAAAAGATGAACATTGCGGAAACTCACAAGAACAACGTGCGAAGCAAAATATGTTTATTTCTTTTATAAATAGCATTTCTTATTTATTTTAATATTGTATCTTCATTATTATAATATGATATAGTCCAAATTTATTTTGTTCTGACTTGATTTAGTCATGACTGGTAAAAACCAAAAAAAAATATTCAACTCCTAGTTTTGGTAACTATTTTTGATTTTACTGTTTGTTTTTACAATAAGATACGAATGGATAATAAAATGTTACCTAAAGATAGAGTATAGATTCATTCCTATGACGTAAATAATTATGTTCTTCATGATATATTAGGTTAAATCAAATAATCTTTTTATATATAATTTAAAGTTTTTAATAAATAAATTATTGAGTTGGTCTTCACAATAAAACTGTAAAGTTTTGGAAAAGACTATTTCAATTAAGCTCACTTAAGTCCTTAATTAATTTGAGTCTGTTCTTAAATCATTCTGGCAGAAATTTTAAATGTTGCAATCGTGTTTGAGTTTCACCAGACTAAAGTTGTAATATTTTCTTTCATGGATTTCCAGATACTTATTGTGCTTACATATTATCAAAACTTGTGTCAATTAAAACGAAAATAATTTCTATGTTCATAAATAAAGTATACATCAAAATTTCTTAATTCAAAACCACATATATAGAAAGTAAGTCATTAAAAATATATATAATAAAAATGCACGACATAACTTAAATCAAAAATAACAAAATTTCACAAAACAAGATAATACGTCATATGAAAATATATTATGACTGACAAAATTCGTTTCAAATATACATATGTATTATCTGTCATTAATATTTGTCCCGGCTGGAAACGACCAACAAAAGATTACATTTTCGTAAATACGAGAAACAAAGAGAACTGGAGTGCACGGGTAATTAATGTGTTTCATTAGAACACTTGAAAACCGAATGCGGATGGTATTACAAACTACACCTACGATATAACAAGAGTTTTATACAGTATCATTTGATAATAAATGTTAAATCTGGAACTTTATATATCACAAAATCATTGCAAAGATAATTTATATACATAGTTTAGATAAATACGATTGTGACTGAACAAATTGGAAACTTTGGCAATGTTCTTCAACAGTTACTAAATAAACAATAGTTATTTATGTTCCAGTGAAGGTGGGAAACTTATAAATATTTATTAATGTTTTAACTACGTATTTTTTTCCTTGATTTTTTAGTTTCTTTGGTATGCTTCTTTGATTTAAAATCAATGTCTTTGAAGATTGGTGGAGAAAGACAATGAAAGATTTTAGACACATGTGTATATTGTTGAACGACATTGAACAGGACTTGTATTGAGTCAAAAATGTAATTAAAAAATATATAGTTTGTTAGACATAATTTAGGCAGTACTTCCACTTAGATGCTTATTGCTCCACAACTCTTTACAGAATCCCAAGTCTAAAACTTGTATCCTGTTTATAATACTCCAAGGTAGGAATAAGTGAAGTATGTTAGAATTATAAAAACTACATTTAATATAGAAATTTTCTGATAATACGAGTACTCTATGGATGTTGCAGGAAATTTTATTTAGGAAACATATGCATATGTGATCAAATAGTTAAGATAAGGAAGATTATGATAAGTTCAAAAATATCAATAATATTCTGATAGGAAAACATGTAAATAATATACCTCATATAGTATTGATAAGATATTTCTTAGACATCATTATTATCAGAACAAATTGATTTTCTCTATACATAACATGCATATAACTAATTTCTTTCTAGTACAAGTACTTAACTATATAATTAAACTTATAATTACTATCCTGAAGCAATGTGAGAGAAAAATTTGCATTTTCATTAGTTTTAATTAAATCTTTTTCATTACGAGTTAACACCTTCGTTTAAGTTTAGGATTTCATTTACATGTTAATCCAAGGAGTGCGTCTGCAATACCAACATTTAGATTGGCAAGTTTATTCTGTTTACTTTGTTGTACTTTATTTCATCTTACTACATCGAAGCATAAAATAAGATATATGTACATCTAAGAATTTCGTGAGTCTTATTCATTTAAATGAAACTAATATTTTTTGTAATAACTTTTAACCATTTAAGTAACAAGACCAACCGAAAGACATTCACATCTCACCTGCCCGTGATCACTGTTACTGAAAAGTAAACGAAACGTCGGGAGTATGTAGTTTTTTACAAAAATAACCCGCGTAGTATATCCGAAAAATATTAGTTTTATTTATATGTATATCTTTTTCTTATTTATAACTGTGTTGCAAAAT